CTCAGCCATTAGAAACGATGAATACCCACCATTTGCTTCGACGTGGATGGAACTGGAGGGTACTATGCTGAGTGAAGTAAGTCAATTGGAGAAGGACAATCATCATATGGTTTTACTCATATGTACAATATAAGAAATAGTGACAGGGACCGTGAGGGAAGGGAGGGGAACTGAGTGGGAAAAATTAGAGAGGGAGATAAACCACGAGAGACTCCTAACTTTGGGAAACAAAGGGTTGCAGAAGGGGAGGAGAGGAGGAGGGATGGGGTAACTGGGTGAAGGGCAGTAAGGAGGGCACTTTTCAGACAAGCCCTGGGTGTTATACTATATGTTGGCAAATTGAATTTAAATAAAAAATTAAATTAAATTCTCCAATATTTTAGATACATCTCCATTTTTGCATGTGCTCAAATTAACACACACACAGACATACACACTGTGAGATGTCTAATTGCTGCAATATGAAAAACTACACGGTATGTGGCACATTTGCACCAAAACAGACAAAATGAAATCATATTTTCTGTCAACAATCAAGTTTTTTAAATTATGTAAAATTCATAAGCTGTTTATATATCTTTAATCTACATATTTATTTTTGCTCAATTTATTTTGTTTCCCTAAAGAGCAATTAATGTATCAAAAGGATGTTTACTGATCTAGAGATATTCATGAATTGTATTTTATTCCTAAGCTCTAATGTTGAATGCTTTGCTATTCTGTGCTAATAGTTCTGTCCATAGTATAGAACTTGAATTAGGAGCAAAACTGGCTTGAAAATAGGTGGGTAAACTAAGGCACAGCAAAAGTAATTTAGTGATTATTTATTTCTAATGGCTATATATTTTCATGTATGTTGAGTCCTTATCTTGATTATCATGAGACTTTTCACTTGGACTTTGTCACGCTGAACGAGTACGCAAATCCAGGTATAAAAGAACATTGTAATTTTTCATGGAAGTGCAAAAATTACTTATACACATGAATACAGGTATTTTTTTAATTGAAGGAACAGTACATTACTTTGACACTAAGGTAATTTTGATTATTTTAAAAGTGATGAAATGTATATTTGCAGATCATTTTTTAAATGTTTCTCAAATATTGAAACAGAATATGTTTGCTATTTTAATACATTCCTTCTCGATTTCAGGCAAAGTATACTACCTACAAAATTTAATTGTGTATTTAAATAAAAATCTCCAAACATTGGGAATTTTATCATCAGTGAACTCTAGTATAAAAGAACCAGGTGTAGCTATAAATCACTGGAAAATAGCTGTGCTGTACCCATTAAATACCATAGAGACAGGTACATTTCGCTGATGAATATTACTGAAATTACTAATTACCAACTACTAATTGGACTAGATAATTTATTAAATGCAAACAAACAAAAATACGCTCATGTGCTCTGGTTAAGACTTAGTCTTCTGAGAGGATGAAAAAAGTTACCACAACTTAAGACTGCAAACAAGAACTTCTATAGCATGATTTTCAGAATACATCTCTGTATATGAAGTTTCCCAGGAGAGGCAAATGATATTACAGTGTTTTTGATAAAGTGCTGCTTTTGTTCTCTTTTTCCATTCATACGGGAACACATAAATGGTAGAAATATGAACAAGGGGCATTAGAAGTAGCCCCTGATGACTTTTTAAGGTTGTAACTTTGGGTGGTCCATGTTCAACTTATATTGATTTCCACCATAGCAGTATTCTTAAATTTGTTCTCACTTTAAAATTTGTGTAATTGTCTTATATGATCAAACATATTGTTTCATCCTGTAAAATCTTCACTAGTGAATGTAAAATCCAGTCAATCTAGCTTATTTCTCAAGAGAAAATCCTATAAAAAATTTTTGAGTGGGAGTTCGAAAGGCAATAGGGTTCGAAGTTGCATTTTTAAAACGATGTGTTTCAACTTTACATGGATGCAATTAAACGGAAGGTGGTTGGTTTGCCACACATGATGACATTCCTCTGGGAATATATTCCATTGCCTAATATTTTCACTTAATTTGCCTTTTATCTAAATCCTTATTCTCTGATCCAAAATCTGTTTCTCCTTCATGGCTTTCCTATGTCTATCAGTGATATCATATTTGAGATTCTCTTTTTATTATGCCTCATATTTATTCAGTTGCCATTTCATGTCTGGTTCCTTAATATGTCCTATTTCATACTATATACTTTCAATTTAATTGTCTTGTATTAAAGATCATAAACTCACCTGTTGCAGTAGCCTCCCGACTGATAGCTCTTTTAATCTCCTTTTGCTTCAAATCTTCATTCCATTACAAATAATACAAATACAAATGATACAAATTTAAAGTGTCATTTTCACTGTCATTTCTCTTTTTAAAAATTATTGGGTCCTTGTTGTCTGGATAATGTCTAAACTCTTTAAATTGGTTTCTTTCATTCATCACCTCCCTCCCTCCACAATTGGATTGTAACCTACCCTACTTGCTTTATCTCTATTACCTTCTTTACATGAAACCTTTACTTCTTGATCGAGGTCAAGGTCCTCCATCAAGGACCTCCCACATCCTATTCCCATTCCTGGTTTCACACCTTCTCTCATTCTAGCATCCTGTATTGCTATTGCTTCACTTTTGCCCCTGCTTATTACAAATCTACTATTTCATGTTAGAATTTTTTTATTATTTTTTTAGTGCAATTACCTCATTATTTTATTTTGGTTTTACTTTTTCTCTTTTCTTTCTTTCTTTCTTTCTTTCTTTCTTTTTTTTTTTTTAGGTTTTATTTCTTTATTTAAGAGAGAGTTCACAAGGAGGGCAGGGACAGAGACAGAAGGAGAGGGAGAAGCAGACTCCCCAGTGAACACAGAGCCCTAGGCAGGGCTTGATCCCAGGACCCTGAGATCATGACCCGAGCTGATCAGACCCTTAACCGACTAAGCCACCCAGATGCCCCATCCTGGTTTTTCTAAGCTTTCATCTTTTAGACATACCCACATTATTGACAAGATTGTTATTTGCAATACAATTTATATTTCATATAAAAAGACAAACTAAATTGCCTTTCCTTGATTGACCTCACTTTACTGGCCCTCTACCCCAGCTGATCAACTCTCAAAATAATGCAGAGCATCAGGCTGTGTTGGAAAGCACTAGGAGGTAGGACAAAATTAAGCACAGGTATGCACGTTAAAACACGGACTGGACTCTCAAGGGTTAAAATTTAAGAGGTTTATTCTTCTTTTATCAAGCAATGTCTACAGACAGAGCATCCACATGGTGTAAGCTACCAAAGAAGGATGTATGGGACAGACTTACATTAAATCATTAGACACTTTATATGGTTCATGTTCACAAGGGAGAAACTTGCTAAAAAGGAAAGCAGGTAAGTAGAAACATAAGTTGATTTTTGTTGTTTATTAAATCTACCTCCCATAATGTTTCCTTAAGCTAAGAATAAATCTACCATATTACACAGCTCAGGATGCTATATATACATAAGGTATTACACACTATAAAATTTCAGGTTTCTAAGCAGTTTTATACAATTTAAACTTGAGTCAAATTTGTATTTAAAAAAGACCTTATTGGATTACCTTCAGTAAACGGAGGTCGTTTCAACAGCCCATTAGCATTTTTAGCAACAACTAAAGAAAAAAATAAAGAGTCTCCAAACATGTATATGACCTTACGCCTAGATAATTATCTGCTTATTTCAATAAACCAATTCTAGCTTTAATCCACTTCTATTAGTCTTTTATTTCCTCATTTTTTTAAAGAGGCAATCATTTTTACTTCTCTAGTGTCTCAAATAAGAGAATTAGTTAGGTTTCAAACCATAGCACATAGTTAATGAGAAGGTCATTTAAGGGTTATTTAAGAGTTGAGCAGAAGTCATTGAGGAAAGTTCTCAAGGAATGAAGCTCTTTGATGAGTTATATTTAAATTACCAAGGCGATAGTGAAGTTTGACTTTCCTCGCCACTGTGGAGCTAGCCCCTAGTCCCAATTTCCGCTACTAATTCTCCTAAGCCACTAATACTTCTCAGTTCTCTAGCCAGTATTTTCTCCCTGGTGGTAATTTCCCTACATGCGCTTTACTCTAAGCAGACACAAATGAGACTTCTTTTTTAAAGCTGAAAGTTCCTGCTGATTCAACACTGGACTACATGAAAAAAATAATAATCTATTCTGCTAATAAGAAACATTTGTAAGTAGTTAACATCTGAGACAAACTTGCATCAAAAATACAATTCACTCCAATGACGACAAGCAAAATGAAGAGAATACATTGCAAACAGTTTTCCATAATTCCTTTTCCTCCCTTCCTCCCCATGTTCTGTCGCATGCTGCAGACCATATGGTTAAGTTTCAAATAGAGTTTGTCACCTGTATACAACCTAAGGCCAACTTATGCCTTCAAATGACATTTCGTTGAGGTTGAACCCAATGCCGACGATAGGATTTGGCGCAAGAGACGCCGAACTTTTCTAATGACAAAAGATTTGTAGTAATGAGGGTGTTCAGTATGCAGCTTTTAGCCTACCTTTTCCTCTTGTGACATTCCCTACAAGGCACAAAATATTATAAACAGTGGATGGGACGGAATATTTTGAAGTAAGAATTTTAAGGTTCCACAATACCTTTTTATTTCTAGGTTAAGCATACCGAAAAGTGGAAAGAAAAAATAAGAGATAAACCACCCCCAAAATGAAATGGTGCTTAAAGTCATCTGAAATTCCCTGCAGTTGAGTTATTTTTAAGTATTTAAATTTCTATTTTATTGGCTTAAAATGTAATTTTAGATTTGATTCTTGTGATTGATGTAGTTTCTTATTAAATGTTGTGTTAAATATTTCTAATCAACCAATATTACTAATTGTGTGCATCTTTGCAAAAAAAAAAAAAAGTCTATTTTATTTGGGCCAACCAAGTAACTTATGCTTGACTAGGGTATGATCTTGGAAAGTTAAGCTGAAATTTAAACAATGGATTAAGTGCAATGTACTGGAAAACTCTTCATTCCATTATTATCTGATAAGGGTTCCTAGGCATTTCCTAGGCATCTCCAACCCAAACCACTGTATTTCCTTTCTCCACTTCAGTGATCTCACAGTTTAACTTATTGAGTCGTCCATCTAGTATAAAGAGGGAGTCCTTGGAAGGCGTCATCAGGTATTGACCAAACAAGCCACTGTCCTGGATTTGCCTGTTCTTCTGGTTCCAAGGCCATTCTTCTGCCTTGAGTGGTTCCTTTAGACTCTTTATCATCTTAACCTTCCCAGAGGAGAGCTCCACGAAGAGCACATCAGTCTGTGTGCTTGAACTGCCATAGATGTTGTACTGATGGGCTTCGGTAAAGGATGGCTGAAATGCCAGATCAGATATATGCAGATTTGTGTGAATATCAAAAGCGTCCTGTATTTCTCCTCTGATGGTAATGTACTGGACCCTTACAAGACCCTTCACATCATTAATGCTGACAAGATAGTGCCCGTCTGGAGAGACATATGGAGTGCCTGTAACATCACTATTGAATCCGATGACTGAGTCGGTTACACCGTCCACCATAAGCTGTGGTGGGACTGCCCCCGTGCTGTCAGGCTTGCAGCCAATGAAGTAGTATCCTCCCAAGTGTGTATACGCCAGTGACTGAGGAATGCACTTATAGTCCATCAAGTTAATTGTCTTGATGTATGACATGGTTTCAAGATCAATTTTTTGTAGTGCAGCTTCATCTTTGTGAAGAATAAATCCAAACCTGAAAAGATGAAAACCAAAGTTAGACAGGAAACTATAGACTGATTCCCACCTGAAAATGTAATGTGGCCAGGTGGAAAGGGCCATCCCTAGTCTAGGCATTAAATGTCAGGCTCTGCAGCAGTTCGTGTCACAGTCAGGTTAGAATTAAACTTTAAATTGTGCCACTCTTCTCCTTTCTCTAGGTCATTCTTTTGTTACAGCCAAACAATTGTAACTCATGGTGTAGAAAACAAAATAATTAAAAGCAATATATCTAACAACTTAGAAGAACAGATTTTACCTTTACCATACAGGGTAAAAAAGTAAACATTATTTTGTGTGTTTCTAATCCTTCCAATATCAAATAAGCTTAGTTTACTGCTATTCAAGTCAACAAGAATAAAAGGCTTGAATATATATCTATTTCGCTTGCTTTGTTTACTTCTTATTTTGTCTTAAGATCACCAGGAAGCTGACATTCATCGATACTTAGACAATTATCCACATTTTTATCTTCTTAAGCTGCCTTACAGGACCACCTTAATAAATGCAGATTTTTTTTGTATATAATTATTAAACTTCTATTTATTAGATTTTAAGATTACCGCGAATAACTATTTTTTATGATTTTAACACTTATTTTATTATAAGTTTTAAATACAGGTTGCATTTTTCAACCTTGCCATGCTTATATTGTTATCGTTTTTGGTGATATACTTGCATCATATTGGTTATCTTATATCAAAACATGATGAACCTTAAGGATTTATGATTTTTTCTGTTAATTTAAAAGTAAATATTTCTTATTTACTTTGGTGGCCTATTTAATTACTTCAGTGCCTTTCAAGGCATTTGTCTTGAATACTAGCTATAAATTATTATAAGTCCCTGTGAGAAGTGTAAATATATTTTGAAACCATGGCTTATAAAGCCAGTGGGCCCATAACAAAAATAAGTAAGCTGAATAAGATAAAATGAGATGGGACTACTATATAAAATTATATTCAAAATGGATACTGGGTCAATAAAATTTTGAAGGACTCTTACTTTAGTTTTTGTTAATAATATCAGTTAAAACACATCCTAGTATTTTCAGAGGCTCCATAAATATATATCTTAAAAAAGCCAGGGGTCTATTGTTACATTGAATGTGCATCTTAAAAATAAGATGACTTGTGGCACAGAAAAACAAACAAAACCTCTGAAGATAACCTATTATGTTGTCACCTGTGCAAGTTCATTTCTGATATGCGGATTTAGATACACAAAATCTTATTTATGTAAAAAAAGACCATTTCCACACATTATACATAGATAAATATGGTGCATCCAGGGTAAAACTCCCTAAAATTTCAAATATAAGCATATGGCAATCTCAAAAAATAAACTCACCTTTAATATCATAGGAAAGATTAGATTAGTGTTTTCAAAGAATCAATCTTTGTGTTGTAATTGTGGAAGACAGCAAGTGCATAAGCACAAATTCTTTAATAAAATAGATGCAAAGTTGTAACTGCTTTTATGTTATCATATTGCATGTAGTTGGGAAGCCATATTAATTTTAGCTCTTTAAACATATGTGAAGACACTATTTGTTGTGACACTTTAGAGAGATGACAGCTTCATCTATACAAAAGGATAACTATAATGTGTATCTACTCTTTTTCTAAAAAGTTTTAAATATTTATTGAAATATTCAAAAGAATATGAGGCACTGGGAATACACTGTAGGTCAACATAACTCTCCCTGCTTTCAATGAGTCTAGGAATTTTAGTAACAAAAATGGAAAATGTAGTGATTAATGCTTAATTATAGCATCCTGCTATACTATTACTTAATTTAGTAGTTATTGCTTATTTTATTTACACGAGGTTTAATAAAGTAATCATTTTGAAAATAATATTTCTGGTGGCAGTCACCATTTCTGGCTTATTTCCTCGATCTTTCTCCTTTCCTGTGTCCTTAATAACTGTGTTTGTGTCATTTCAGTAAACACAGCTCACATCATACCTATTTAGGATAAAATTTAGTTTTGATTATAATGGTATGAAGCAGCATACATGGGATTAAAAATCATTTCTAACTGTTTCTATTAAAATATTAATTGCCTAGCACAGGTTTTAAATGCTATCTGAATATTAAAGAATTAAAAAAACCCTCAAACTGAAAGCTGAGCCCCATTATTTTTTGTCCACATCAAAAAGATTGTAAAATCCTAGATCTCAATACTCAGACTCATATTTGTGTTAATAAATAATTAGCTCTGATTACTGTTAAAGGGATATTTCTCCATTAATGGACAATCATTAAAGATATGTCAGTGTGTATCTGATATTATGAAATTCTGAATAATGATGGAAGAGATTGTCTTTTTTTTAATGTTATGCATTGTACATGTGCCCAGAGAGAAAAGCAGTAATATGCACATTTAATAAAAACAATAAGCCAATCAAATTTTGGCATTTCGGCTCCTCTCTCAACCTTGAGTTTTCCATTCCCTTTGGGCAATGGTTTGTGAATGCTAATGAAGAAGAATGCGACAAGCTCTAACTGCTGGTGAACTATTTTAACTCTAATACTAAAGAATGCACTCAAGTTTTCTGTAATACAGTTCAATCTTTTTTTGCAGGTAATTAAAATTTTAAAAAAGGGTTCGGTTAAAAATGCAAAAGCTCCATGTGGGGTTATAAAATTACATCTATTTTGGCATCCATGCTGCACTCTCCTTTAGGACTAGAGATCTAGCTACATAAGCAGATGCATGAGAATGCCTTCAATTTTTCACTACTGATTTATTGGGTAGGACGTGGTGTCTCTAATTCAAAATTTCCCCCTAGTACAGATTGATATTCAAAAATCTCCCACTGTTCATTAGTCTGTGATTAATATTTACGAGGCTCTCAACTTTCATGCCTGCTTAGTATAATAAAATCCTGCCCAGGACTAGGCCTAACATAGTTTGTCTAATATTTGTCAGAATATGTAGGAAGTTGCAGACTGTAAGAAATGAGAAGTAAAACTTACGGAATCACTTCTTTCACTAGGAGATTAATAAGGCTAGGAAAGGGGGACCTCTTGGTACGGCATTGGGTGGACTTCTTATTGGACTCAGGGAGGAGAATTAGAGCCATGTTTTTCTTTCACGAATTATTTTTATTTTTCTGAAGTGTAATCGATCTAGTTCATTTTAGAAGCTTTTAAGAAGTTCAGCTTTAATTACTGCTTTTGTACTTTAAGGTGAGGTCTGGAAGTGATTCATACAAGGGAACTTCTTGGTTAGGATGAAGTATAGAAGTTTTCAATCCAGGCTGATCCAGTTTCATGATGCAGTTTTTCGATATAATAGATAGGTGACCTCATGTAAAGTCCTTGACTTCCACGAGTTTCAATGCCTTCGTTAGCCAAAAGAGGACAAAAGTACTACCTTGCTTGGAGGATAAAAGTTAAGTGTGTGTTTATTACCAGGCAAACAGTACACTCTCAATAAACAGAACCTGCCCCTGCTTTGTACCTTAAGGAACCTCATTCTCCCATTAGGAGTCCACCATGATATTTCCTATGGGACAGCATATTATTTTAATTCTTAAATGGGAAGAACAAAAACGGTCAATTTGTAGAGCCAGTATTCCCAGTGTTTAAAATAAGCACATCGTGTTACTCAAACGTGGCAAGATTTTACCCCTTATATATGCAGCAGAGATCACACTTGCAATAGAATTTCACATTTTTATTCTTGCTCTCACGTCTTGCCAACAGGATCTAGGGCTGGTACACCCATTCTCCGATCATCAAAATTTCTCACATTGTTAGAAATGAAGGCAGTCTAGCTCACTCCGTCTTCTTTAGAGGGGCTGCTTTGGTTCTCACTGAGGTCATGGAGCAGTGAGCCATGGCGTGCTGGGTGATTTCTGACCTCTGCACAGAGGATGGGATTTGAAATAGACACCTGTCTTACTCAAGGATTTTCACTAGATGTAACAGAAAATTTTGAGGCAGACTTTAGGACATCTAAAGAGATGGAGAATTGCAGTCAGAGCTTATGACATGGCAATTCGAGAGCCTTGCAAAAGAAGTTGTTTGGCAAAGAGGGGAAAGAACAGATTTAGAGAGAAGCATGTTGAAATACGATGACGCCCAATAAAGAGCTGCTCAAAGGTTTCCACGTCCCAGCAAGACCAGGCTGCATTTCTTGCATCATGAGTAATGATTGATTTCCCCGTATCTCTCACTGAGTTCCCAAATGGGTCTGGTCAGAGGTCTCACAGAGTGATTTCCCGGTTATTGTCCCCCCACAGCGTTTGCCATGCACCCCCCCCCCGACTCTGCTGGCTGAGATGCTACTGAAGGAATTCCATAATTGCAATTAATAGCCTACACTAGGTTGTTATGATCAGTGCCCAGAGTGTTAATACTTCAAAGTTTGGAGTGAAAGAAGCTTGTAATATTTGCAGAATGACGATTATTTTATCTCCTGAGTCTTAATACAGTAGTGCCTTGCCCCAGAGTCCTCATAGATGCTCACCTGAACAGCTCTCCTTACTGCTGACCTTCAGTCTTTGACCACTGACATCACGTCCCCATACTACCAGCTGCCAAGTGTCCCTGATGCTCCCTCTCCATTCCCACATGAGCTCTTTCCTCATACCTCCTCACCTCCACCTCCCTAGATTTTAAAACGAGTATTTCTATGTGTATCAACGGCTGCAAGTGGGAAGCAGTAAGTGCAGACTGAGTGTGTTTGTTGTCAAACGCTCTCCCACTGAGCTATAGCCCCGCAGTTGTGTGTGTTTGGACGTGGGATTAGTCAGATCCTCTAACCTATTACAAAAACAGCACTGTGCAATCCACATCTAAAACAAAAGCGTTTCCCAAACTTTTCTGATGTCTCATTAATAGAAACTATGTTTCTTGAAATAAAACTCCAGAACAGAATCACTTTAACAGCCCTAGGAATTAATTATAATGGAATTTTGTTTGTGAAAATCTACATGCCAAACATATGATCAGGTAAGTAGTGC